ACCGTTTTCTTGGAGTACACCAAAGAGGCAATAGAGAAAACCGTATATTTATAGGCAGTTATTATCATTATAATTAAGGGAGAAGCTCCTAACCCGTAGGATTATACAGCGCCTATGGGGGGTGTGGAGGGTATTCAGGCTTAATTCAGGGAACTGGAGCACAGATCCAATTCCCTAGATCAAGTGCCCCTCGCCAGCGTCAAGGAACCCTTTCTTGAGATGATTTATAGCAGGGACATGGCTAGGTAAAAGGTCTCCGATGCCTACACTCTCCGGTATATGACACTTATTATTATTTTGGCCGTCTTGATTATGCTTTTTTATCAAATATATCTTATGTTGATATCATTACTGAATAAATGGTATAAGAAGAAAACGTGTATTAGTAATAATAGCGTCAATATAAAAGACATTTGTTGGTGAGTCCCAAACTGCTGTCCAACCATACCCCGGCGGGATTGAACCCGCGGTCATAGGTCTCAAACTCCAGCCGTCGCGTTAGCCACTAGACCAGCTAGCCACAATAAGATTCATCTAATAGGTATATTTCTACACCATAGGAAAGTTAGCACAGGCACTCTGTGACCACAAATGCAAGTTTTTACAGACGAATCTCCATTGCTGTCCAACCATTCGCGTCCAGGGCAGCATCTTGGCTCCTCCCGCCTCAGCAATAAACCTTCCCACACCGTAAATGATATTGTGGTAAATATAATGTATTGGAATATTTTATTTACTACAAGTACATGTACAAGGTATACAGACCATAGCTGACATCACTGACATACTACTACATAGAAAGCCGCTTGTTATGCTGAGCATTTCAGGCAAATTAGGTCTGTGTCCCAAGATGCGACCCACACTAATCGACTAACACCCAGGTACCCATTTCATTGATGGGTGAATACAGACAACAGGTGTAAAGAAACAAGCTGAGAATTGAACCCAGATTCTCACCGTGTGAAGCGAGAGCCACCAGAGACCAAAAATTAAGAAGAAAAAAAAAATCTTGCACGGACACGATTTTTTTTTACGTTGCGTGACGTAAGGTAATGCGTTTTAAATAGTTATAATTTGCTTTAGAAACGGAGCATTAAAATGGGATTTTCGCCAAAATGTTGCCAGATTCTTACACTAGTTTTCTGTAAGCAAAACTTATTTTTCATATTTTTCGGATTATTTTCCTATCCGCGCGCCATGTAGGGTTAACACTAGCATGCTAGTGTTTTAATATTGAAATTAGAAAACTAGTGATTAACCCTGAAAGAGCAGACTTGTGTTCAATCCTAAAACTAGGAAGAAAATGTGAAACAAATTATTGGGTAATGCTGGTAGCGGGTGCGTGAAGTGACACGTCTTCGGAGGTTTCTTGACTTTATTTCAAATGTAGTGGTGGGTACACGGCTTGTGTGTGTGTGCCATGGCCCGGGACGGGCCATCCCACGAGGGAGAGAGCTATAGGCTTCTGTCTTGCTGCTAGGCCGCTGTGAGAGTGAGAGAGTGTGGGCCAGCGTCCCACAGACCTGGGCAGGCCAGAGGGCGCACTTAGTGCGTGTGAAATATGAAACTAAGTGGCAGACAGCATGGGCTGTCTGTGCAGACGTACATGGCTGTCTTCAAAAGTGCTTTAAAAAAATTCTAAAACTAGGAGGGTAATGCTCTAACATTCATAAAACTAGAAAACCAGTGCTTTACCAATCCCAAATCTAGGAGACCAATGCTCTAGCAATTTTGAAACTAGGAGGCCTGGGCTCTAGCAGTCCTGAAACTAGCCGGATACTGCTCTCACAATCGTAAAACTAGTATCATACTTTAACAATCTTAAAAATAGCTGGACAGTGTTTTAATACTCCTAAAATTAGTAGATATATGTAAAAATCAGAAAACTGTTAGCAAGTGCTATAAAATCCCATAACTAGCAGGCTAGCATTCTAACAATCCTAAAACTAGCAGGCCAGTGCCCTAAAATTCCTATAACTAAGAAATTTAAAATATAAATGCTAAAATCTATAATAATCTTAAAAGTAGAAGACCAGTGCTCTAACAGTCCTAGGTGACCAACTCTTTAATAATTCTAATTACCGGAATTACTGTGCATGTTATATACTTTCATGTTATTGCATAATTCTATTAACAAATGAAAATCAAATTATCTAATTATTATTATTATTATTATTATTATTATTATTAATATTATTATTATTATTACAATTATTATTGCCAGGCCAATGTTCTGTCAGTGTAGATGAAAAAAAAATACACAGTACCGTGATTCGAACAACGACGTGTCTGTCCTATTTCGACCATAAACTAGTAAGCATTCATGGTCCATGTCGGACTGAAATGTCGTCATAAGCTCTTTTACAGTGGTTTATACACTTGTCCTGGAGATTTGCGACTTACTTGCCATGAGTTCTAATCCCATCCGTACTGCGGTTACTTCCTTCTCCTGTATGTGTGGGTTATATGTGTAGTATTTGACGAAAAGTTCTCAACTCACATGCTTGCCCCCACCGATGGTAGGGATGATGAAGAAAACAAAAGGGATGAAGACTATGAGGAACGCCACCAGCCAGCCCACGTATAAGATATCTTCGGTCACTGGTGTCTTCAGCTCAGTATACAGCGTTGGGAACGGTCGCCAGCGGAAGGCGTCGAACCATCCCGGACTTGTTGTTTCCACACTCATTGTGACGGCTACGGGGGCCCTCTGGTCACTCTGGAGGTATTAGTGGTGGTTATAGTGGAGGTTACAGTGGGGTAGTAGTAGTAGTGATAACAGAAATAAGGGATGTTCATGGTGGTTGCAGTGATGCGTCGTGCAGGGAACAATAGTGGTGGTTGCAGCAATGTTGATTTTGGTAAAGATGGTAGTAGGAATAGTGATGATGTTAGTGTAAAGGTCAGTAATGGTGGGGAGGAAACATTTTTATCGGTGAAGATCTTCATATTGAAGAAAAGACACTTGAACAACATTTGGAAACTGGTGAAGTTAATAGTTTTTTTTTATATACGAGCAGCAATAGCAGAGTTGTCAGTGGTAGCACTGGTAATGGTGAAATAGTAATAGTAGAGATGCTAGTTGTGGTAGCACTGGTATGGGAGAGGTAGCAGTAGAGATGTTAGTTATGGTAGCACTGGTATGGGAGAGGTAGCAGTAGAGATGCTAGTTGTGGTAGCACTGGTATGGGAGAGGTAGCAGTAGAGATGCTGGATGTGGTAGCACTGGTATGGGAGAGGTAGCAGTAGAGATGCTGGATGTGGTAGCACTGGTATGGGAGAGGTAGCAGTAGAGATGCTAGTTGTGGTAGCACTGGTATGGGAGAGGTAGCAGTAGAGATGCTAGTTGTGGTAGCACTGGTATGGGAGAGTAAGCAGTAGAGATGCTAGTTGTGGTAGCACTGGTATGGGAGAGGTAGCAGTAGAGATGTTAGTTGTGGTAGCACTGGTATGGGAGAGGTAGCAGTAGAGATGTTAGTTGTGGTAGCACTGGTATGGGAGAGGTAGCAGTAGAGATGTTAGTTGTGGTAGCACTGGTATCAGAGAGGTAGCAGTAGAGATGTTAGTTGTGGTAGCACTGGTATCAGAGAGGTAGCAGTAGAGATGCTAGTTGTGGTAGCACTGGTATGGGAGAGGTAGCAGTAGAGATGCTAGTTGTGGTAGCACTGGTATGGGAGAGGTAGCAGTAGAGATGCTAGTTGTGGTAGCACTGGTATGGGAGAGGCAGCAGTAGAGATGCTAGTTGTGGTAGCACTGGTATGGGAGAGGCAGCAGTAGAGATGCTAGTTGTGGTAGCACTGGTATGGGAGAGGCAGCAGTAGAGATGCTAGTTTGTGGTAGCACTGGTATGGGAGAGGCAGCAGTAGAGATGCTAGTTGTGGTAGCACTGGTATGGGAGAGGTAGCAGTAGAGATGCTAGTTGTGGTAGCACTGGTATGGGAGAGGTAGCAGTAGAGATGCTAGTTGTGGTAGCACTGGTATGGGAGAGGTAGCAGTAGAGATGCTAGTTGTGGTAGCACTGGTATGGGAGAGGCAGCAGTAGAGATGCTAGTTTTTGGTAGCACTGGTATGGGAGAGGTAGCAGTAGAGATGCTAGTTGTGGTAGCACTGGTATGGGAGAGGTAGCAGTAGAGATGCTAGTTGTGGTAGCACTGGTATGGGAGAGGTAGCAGTAGAGATGCTAGTTGTGGTAGCACTGGTATGGGAGAGGTAGCAGTAGAGATGTTAGTTGTGGTAGCACTGGTATGGGAGAGGTAGCAGTAGAGATGCTAGTTGTGGTAGCACTGGTATGGGAGAGGTAGCAGTAGAGATGCTAGTTGTGTGGTAGCACTGGTATGGGAGAGGTAGCAGTAGAGATGTAGTTGTGGTAGCACTGGTATGGGAGAGGTAGCAGTAGAGATGCTAGTTGTGGTAGCACTGGTATGGGAGAGGTAGCAGTAGAGATGCTATTTGTGGTAGCATGGTATGGGAGAGGTAGCAGTAGAGATGCTAGTTGTGGTGCACTGGTATGGGAGAGTAAGCAGTAGAGATGCTAGTTGTGGTAGCACTGGTAGGGGAGAGGTAGCAGTAGAGATGTTAGTTGTGGTAGCACTGGTATTGGGAGAGGTAGCAGTAGAGATGCTTTGTGGTAGCACTGGTATGGGAGAGGTAGCAGTAGAGATGCTAGTTGTGGTAGCACTGGTATGGGAGAGGTAGCAGTAGAGATGCTGGATGTGGTAGCACTGGTATGGGAGAGGTAGCAGTAGAGATGCTAGTTGTGGTTAGCACTGGTATGGGAGAGGTAGCAGTAGAGATGCTAGTTGTGGTAGCATGGTATGGGAGAGGTAGCAGTAGAGATGCTAGTTGTGGTAGCATGGTATGGGAGAGGTAGCAGTAGAGATGCTAGTTGTGGTAGCACTGGTATGGGAGAGGTAGCAGTAGAGATGCTAGTTGTGGTAGCACTGGTATGGGAGAGGTAGCAGTAGAGATGCTAGTTGTGGTAGCACTGGTATGGGAGAGGTAGCAGTAGAGATGCTAGTTGTGGTAGCATGGTATGGGAGAGGTAGCAGTAGAGATGCTAGTTGTGGTAGCACTGGTATGGGAGAGGTAGCAGTAGAGATGCTAGTTGTGGTAGCACTGGTATGGGAGAGGTAGCAGTAGAGATGCTAGTTGTGGTAGCACTGGTATGGAGAGGGTAGCAGTAGAGATGCTAGTTGTGGTAGCACTGGTATGGGAGAGGTAGCAGTAGAGATGCTAGTTGTGGTACCCACTGGTATGGGAGAGGTAGCAGTAGAGATGCTAGTTGTGGTAGCACTGGTATGGGAGAGGTAGCAGTAGAGATGCTAGTTGTGGTAGCACTGGTATGGGAGAGGTAGCAGTAGAGATGCTAGTTGTGGTAGCACTGGTATGGGAGAGGTAGCAGTAGAGATGCTAGTTGTGGTAGCACTGGTATGGGAGAGGTAGCAGTAGAGATGCTAGTTGTGGTAGCACTGGTATGGGAGAGGTAGCAGTGAGAATGCTAGTTGTGGTAGCACTGGTATGGGAGAGGTGCAGTAGAGATGCTAGTTGTGGTAGCACTGGTATGGGAGAGGTAGCAGTAGAGATGCTAGTTGTGGTAGCACTGGTATGGGAGAGGTAGCAGTAGAGATGCTAGTTGTGGTAGCACTGGTATGGGAGAGGTAGCAGTAGAGATGCTAGTTGTGGTAGCACTGGTATGGGAGAGGTAGCAGTAGAGATGCTAGTTGTGGTAGCACTGGTATGGGAGAGGTAGCAGTAGAGATGCTAGTTGTGGTAGCACTGGTTGGGAGAGGTGCAGTAGAGATGCTAGTTGTGGTAGCACTGGTATGGGAGAGGTAGCAGTAGAGATGCTAGTTGTGGTAGCACTGGTATGGGAGAGGTAGCAGTAGAGATGCTAGTTGTGGTAGCACTGGTATGGGAGAGGTAGCAGTAGAGATGCTAGTTGTGGTAGCACTGGTATGGGAGAGGTAGCAGTAGAGATGCTAGTTGTGGTAGCACTGGTATGGGAGAGGTAGCAGTAGAGATGCTAGTTGTGGTAGCACTGGTATGGGAGAGGTAGCAGTAGAGATGCTAGTTGTGGTAGCACTGGTATGGGAGGGTGCAGTAGAGATGCTAGTTGTGGTAGCATGGTATGGGAGAGGTAGCAGTAGGAGATGCTAGTTGTGGTAGCACTGGTATGGGAGAGGTAGCAGTAGAGATGCTAGTTGTGGTAGCACTGGTATGGGAGAGGTAGCAGTAGAGATGCTAGTTGTGGTAGCACTGGTATGGGAGGAGGTAGCAGTAGAGATGCTAGTTGTGGTAGCACTGGTATGGGAGAGGTAGCAGTAGAGATGCTAGTTGTGGTAGCACTGGTATGGGAGAGGTAGCAGTAGAGATGCTAGTTGTGGTAGCACTGGTATGGGAGAGGTAGCAGTAGAGATGCTAGTTGTGGTAGCACTGGTATGGGAGAGTAGCAGTAGAGATGCTAGTTGTGGTAGCACTGGTATGGGAGAGGTAGCAGTAGAGATGCTAGTTTTTGGTTAGCACTGGTATGGGAGAGGTAGCAGTAGAGATGCTAGTTGTGGTAGCACTGGTATGGGAGAGGTAGCAGTAGAGATGCTAGTTGTGGTAGCACTGGTATGGGAGAGGTAGCAGTAGAGATGCTAGTTGTGGTAGCACTGGTATGGGAGAGGTAGCAGTAGAGATGCTAGTTGTGGTAGCACTGGTATGGGAGAGGTAGCAGTAGAGATGCTAGTTGTGGTAGCACTGGTATGGGAGAGGTAGCAGTAGAGATGCTAGTTGTGGTAGCACTGGTATGGGAGAGGTAGCAGTAGAGATGCTAGTTGTGGTAGCACTGGTAATGGGAGAGGTAGCAGTAGAGATGCTAGTTGTGGTAGCACTGGTAGGGGAGAGGTAGCAGTAGAGATGCTAGTTGTGGTAGCACTGGTATGGGAGAGGTAGCAGTAGAGATGCTAGTTGTGGTAGCACTGGTATGGGAGAGGTAGCAGTAGAGATGCTAGTTGTGGTAGCACTGGTATGGGAGAGGTAGCAGTAGAGATGCTAGTTGTGGTAGCACTGGTATGGGAGAGGTAGCAGTAGAGATGCTAGTTGTGGTAGCACTGGTATGGGAGAGGTAGCAGTAGAGATGCTAGTTGTGGTAGCACTGGTATGGGAGAGGTAGCAGTAGAGATGCTAGTTGTGGTAGCACTGGTATGGGAGAGGTAGCAGTAGAGATGCTAGTTGTGGTAGCACTGGTATGGGAGAGGTAGCAGTAGAGATGCTAGTTGTGGTAGCACTGGTATGGGAGAGGTAGCAGTAGAGATGCTAGTTGTGGTAGCACTGGTATGGGAGAGGTAGCAGTAGAGATGCTAGTTGTGGTAGCACTGGTATGGGAGAGGTAGCAGTAGAGATGCTAGTTGTGGTAGCACTGGTATGGGAGAGGTAGCAGTAGAGATGCTAGTTGTGGTAGCACTGGTATGGGAGAGGTAGCAGTAGAGATGCTAGTTGTGGTAGCACTGGTATGGGAGAGGTAGCAGTAGAGATGCTAGTTGTGGTAGCACTGGTATGGGAGAGGTAGCAGTAGAGATGCTAGTTGTGGTAGCACTGGTATGGGAGAGGTAGCAGTAGAGATGCTAGTTGTGGTAGCACTGGTATGGGAGAGGTAGCAGTAGAGATGCTAGTTGTGGTAGCACTGGTATGGGAGAGGTAGCGTAGAGATGCTAGTTGTGGTGCACTGGTATGGGA